ATATATTTAATTAATTAATTATATTATTATATTATATTAATTATATTATATTAATTATATATTTAATTCCCAATTTATATATTACTTTATTTTATATTACTTTTCATTCTTTATATATTTAATTAATTAATTATATTATTATATTATATTAATTATATTATATTAATTATATATTTAATTCCCAATTTATATATTACTTTATTTTATATTACTTTTCATTCTTTATATATTTAATTAATTAATTATATTATTATATTATATTAATTATATTATATTAATTATATATTTAATTCCCAATTTATATATTACTTTATTTTATATTACTTTTCATTCTTTATATATTTAATTAATTAATTATATTATTATATTATATTAATTATATTATATTATAATTAATTATATTTATATTATTTATATAAATTATATTGATAGTTATAGGAGATTATAGTTATATTATATTATATTATTTTAGTATTATATTATTATATTAATTATTTATATATTATATATTATATTATATATTATATTATATTATATTATATTATATATTATATTATATTATATATTATATTATATTATATATTATATTATATTATATATTATATTATATATTTATTATATTATATATTATATTATATATTATATTATATATTATATTACATTTTATATTATATATTATATTACATTTTATATTATATTTTATATTTATATTATATTATATTTATTATATTATTATTATATTTATAATAAAATGTAGTATTATTATTTATAATATAATATATTATATTATTTTATATATTATACATTACATTTCATTATTTTATGTATTACATTATATTATGATATATATTTTATTACTTTATATATATTATTTTATATATTATATTACTTTATAAATATTGTTTTATGTATGACATCGTATTATTATTATATTATAACACTTTTTATATTATACTACTTTTTTTATATGGTATAATATAATATACCATACCATATAATATATATTATTTTATATAATAATATTATAATATTTTAATATTATATATATTTATATATTATTATAATAATATAATTTATTATTATTAAATATTATATATTATATTATATATTATTATAATATTATATATTATATTATATATTATTATAATATTATATATTATATTATATATTATTATAATATTATATATTATATTATATATTATTATAATATTATATATTATATTATATATTATTATAATATTATATATTATATTATATATTATTATAATATTATATATTATATTATATATTATTATAATATTATATATTATATTATATATTATTATAATATTATATATTATATTATATTATATTATATTATATTATATTATATTATATTATATTATATTATATTATATTATATTATAAGATTCCTCAATTTACAGAAAAACCACAAGGCCAAAAGTTATTTCTCACAATAAAATTGACAAGTTAATTTTAGTAAAGCGACAAGCAAGACATGAATGGCAAAAGTTTCGTTCTCCTAACGCTAAACAATGACTTAATGAATTCTTAAAATTACTTAAAGATGCACTCAACAATCATAGAAATTTAAAAATACAGCACTATTTAGAGAATATTGGACCTAATAAAGAAAACAATTATACTTTGTGGAAAGCATCCATAAAAACAAAAATACCTATTCAAAATGATCCTCCCATCCAAAAACTAGACGGATCATGGGTTAAAAGTGATGAAGAAAAGAGATCTGTTCTAGTTAATCACTTAAAAACAGTATTTCAATTAAATCCAGAAGTCGTCAACTTCCACACTGGAGTTCATTTTCCAGTAAAGGTGAAAGCTCCAATTAAACTAAGTATTTATGAAGTAAAAGAAGCAATTCAAACAAATTCAAATCCTAAGAAGGCACCAGGTCTTGATCATATTACAGGCAAAATGATAAAACTTCTCCCTGAAGTTTTATTATTATTTTATTATTAACCATAATATTTAATAGCATTCTTGCTACAGGCTATTATCCAAAGCAATGGAGAGTTTCAAAACCAGGAAAGGACCCAACTCTGGCTACCTCTAACAGACCGATAAGTGTTCTTCCTTACTTATCGAAGATCTTCGAAAGAATAATTTCAGCTAAATTGGAACCTTATATAATGCATCATAAAATAATACCTAATCACCAATTTGGTTTCAGGAAAAGCCACGGAACAATAGAGCAAGTCCATAGAATTGCAAGTGAAATCCACACTGCTTTCCAAAAGAAAAAATATTGCACTGACATTTTTCTGGACGTTGCTCAAGTTTTCGACAAGGTTTGGCACGAAGGCTTACTTGCGTAAATTAAATTAAAACTTTCTGAAAACATACACCGGTTTTTTCTTTCTTACTTATCTTCTAGAAAATTTCGTTTGAAACATAACTTACTTCAAGAGAAGTTGAAATAATGGCTGGTATTCCTCAGGGAAGTGTGTTTGGGCCGTGCGTTATCGTGGTGTAAAATTCATGAGTTTTCCTTCCATAAATCTGGCCTCTTTTTGCGAATGGCCTCACGCAAACGACGCATAACGACCAAATAATAATCCTTATTGACCGTCCGGAAGGAATTCATAGTGCACCACACCACTAATATCGAAGACAACAGTCAGCATAACCATGATTTTGGACCGACTTTAGCGATCTCTTTTCGGTTTCGGCTCACCTTCGAAGCACCATTCGGTGGATTATTGTTTGGTGGGCATATCAAATTCATAAACCCATGTCTCATCATCAGTTATGATACTTTCGATGAATGTGGGGTCACTATCTGCGTTGGAAATAATCTGTTTGACCACATCACAACGACGCTTTCTTTGAATGATATTCAGCTAAAAATTGCCACACGAAAATTTTTCGACTTCTTTGTATAGACGCCAAACAAAAACTAATGGTACGATATGCGTTAAACTTTGACAGAATATGTATAATAGTGTTGCCAGCCTGAAAATAAAAATATTTACCGATTGGATAAGCGCGGGAATTCAAAAAAAGAACGAATAAGTTCTTTTTTAATCACAAGGTACGTGATACTCTTAAATTAGGACGATATCATGCGCCAATAACCAGAGCACAACTTTGACTGTCAATACTTTATACTGGCTTCACACTAGAGTTTTGTTTGTAATTTTAGCTGTCAAATCGAATCACACTTGTGTTTTGCTAAATTTGAAGCACCCAAAAAAATAACCTTTGAGAATTACAAGCTGAAAATGAGATTTTTCTTGTAGTGTTAAAAATATGAATGAATAAAAACAAAAACCGATTGTATGAAATTCTACGAATATATAAATATGTGTAAAATGTGTTAAAAAATATATTTTTTAACACATTAGTCGTTTGAAATTTACACACAATATACTGGGCCAAATTTGCACTTTATTGTCATGTGTTTGAAAAATATGTTCAAACAATTGTAACTTGCCACATTTGGTAAGTATTGATTCTATAACATCATTACCGCTCATAAAGGTCGTATCTCACATAGACATGTGCGAATTTTGCCTGCAATTTGATAATGATTCCAGTCAATGTTGACTCCTCGGATAGTACGTACATCCAAGATACTGGAAGCATACCTTCCACCTATCATAATGTGATCAATTTGAGATCTTGTGTTTTGATCAGGTGACAGTCATGTTGCCTTATGTAAGTTGAGATGCTGGAATCTGGTACTACTAACCACCATGTTTCTAGACACGGCGAAATCAATCAACCTTCTTCCATTATCAGAAGTTTTTGTATGAAAGCTTTCCGACAGTAGTACTAAAGATACCTTCTTTACCCACCTTTGCGTGGAAGTCTCCTACAACGATCTAAAGGGAGGCACATGAAGGCCGTGTTTTAACTTGAAGAGAACAGTGATAAGGATCCAGTTAAATGCAAAAGAGCAATAGAGGTTTATTGGGTTCTTAGTTAAAATTCACATTGGGTAAATTAGACTCGGCTGCAAACTGAAAATAAAATTTATTGTTAAAAATATTGCACATGTCTTGAACGATTCAAATAATAGTTTAAGTTTAAGTTTGTTTAGATCATTTTAAGTAAAATAATGTCGAACGATAATAATAGATCTGTTCCATGAGTTACACGTAGTAAAATTCAAGTAAAACACAAATAAAGTATAAAGAGCCTAACACAAATTATGTGCCAAATTTCGCTCTTTACACAGAAATCGCATTATTTGTCTGCAGCACAAAATATCAAAAATAAATTAAATCAACATATGATACGCAATTCTTTTCTTTGTTTTGCTTATTTTAGCACTGTTCGCCAATAAAAAGTGCAATGGTTGCCAAAATTTAACAAAACAAATTTAAAACTTTTGTTGCTCCCAAAACAGATGTCGCCCAAGCAATTCAGAATAAGGGAGTTCTATTCTTGGGTATAGCTTGGGAATAGGGAGACTTATTCCCTGGGAATGTTCAGACTTGCTATGATTATAAATCGGATATCATTCTTTCGTAAACTATATAGCGTACTCTGGATTTATAGTGAGAATGAATAATTCGAAATAAATATATGTATGTTATTCTTTTTCCCATATAAGCATTTACAGTATGATATTGTCAGCCCGCTCACAATATCATACGGCATCTTGAAATTGTTTACCCAATATTAACATTAGAAGAATACAGACAATCATGGATGTGTTTCTTTTCAGACAATCATCAAATAAAGCTAATTTGATACTACTGTAATCAGTAGTTTTTGTTATCAAAAATTATCTTACAACTATCGTAATTGATAATGAAAAGCAGCTTGATTAAGACGAATTTAACCTGTTTCGCAACATAAACAAAAACACACATAACAACAGCTCCATTTCACCCAGTATTAAACGATTGTTTTTAACTGTTTTAAACGTTTTAAAAACTTTAGTGAAACTTTTTAAAATTTTTTAAGTCAACTTCTTAAAATTTTCGCAAAACATTTCTAGTGTGCGGTCGTGTTTTTAAACCAGTTTCGGAAAAAATTTTAAATTTCAGTATAAAAACAAGCAAATAACAATCACTTTTAAAAGAATTACTTTTGTTATTAATACAAAAATAAAAAACAGAACATTCTCGGACAAAAAAACAATTCCTAAAAGTTAAAAGTGCATAAAATATTAATTTGAAAATAGCACGCGGTTTTTCGGTTTTTGTTGATTTTTGCACAACTTTAATAAAAATAACTCAAATAGCTGACAGAGACAGCAAATTATTTTCTAAAGCTCAAAATAAAAAAAAAGTGAGCAAGCATTCAAACAAAATATCAGTGCGGTTTTGTGTATATATAAACAAAACAAAAAAGTGCTGATAGAGACAGCTAGTATTTTATTACAAACGTGTTCCACAAAAGCTGTAATTGGAAGTCCACACAACACATCACAACACAACACAACCTTAACAAAACATCAAAACCAACAGTCTTGCTAACATTGGAATTTGGAATTTAAAGCTATTTATTTATTAATTATTTTTATTTTTATTATTATTATTTTAATTATTATTATTATTATTGTTCTGCTTATTACTATTTTTTTTTTCTTTTTTGTTTTTTTATTTATCTATTTAATTAATTATTAGAATATAAAGTACAATATTTTACATATTTTCATTTTTACAACTACATTTTTCTTTTTTTTCTTCTTCATATTAATTTAATTTAATTTTATTTATTTTCATATATTTAATTTAACTTAATATCAATTTATTTTAATAGTAGTTAAATAAGGTAAATCTTATAGCACACCTGCTATTTGCATATATAACCACGTATGAAAATGAGCAATCAAAATCTAGAAAGAAGACATACGATAAGCATTCCAAGTAAACGTAATGCTTATCTGGTAATAGACGCGTCGAATACGTTGCCTCTGAAAATCACACAAATTGATAAAGGCTTGTCAAACATTGCACCTTCCGCAGCGTCGCTTGCATTTTCCGACTTAGCGAGTCCAAAAAATAAAATAAAGGTCCAAACAGGCATGGAACGCTATGTAAATATGAAACGAAAACTTAGTCCTCAAAAAAGCAATTCAAAAGGTGCTAAAATAACTAAAACTATCAAAGATAGTGCAACTACAAGCATTTTTTCTGGCAATAGATTTGCTGAATTAGCTGAAACTCAGAGGAAGCTTATCACGCTATTACCAACAATTTTAAACCGCCTCCAATCTACATGTGTGAACGCAGCTCAAATAACCTAGTTACAATCCTTGCACGTCTGATAGGAAATAACACGTTTCATATTGTTCTTATAACTAGGGGCAATATGCAAGAAACCAAAATCCAAATCGACACTGAAAACAATTTTAGGGTCATAACTAAATATTTCGAAGACATCGAAAAAAATTACTACACATACCAACTGAAGAGTAGTAAAGGCTTTGTTGTTGTCATTAAAAGTATTGAATCAGATGTAGAACCCATTGAGATAACAAATGCCTTAAGCGAAAAAGGCTTTAGCGCTAGAGCAGTTATAAACATTGTTAACAAAGATAAAATCCCACAACCCATGTTTAAAGTTGAACTTCACCCGGAAGTTTCTAAGCTTAAAAACAATGAGAGCCATCCCATTCACAACCTACTGTATTTACTTCACGTCCGGTGCAATGCACAAACTGCCAAGAGTATGGCCATACTAAGTCATATTGTACTCTTTGTACAGTGCGCGTAGCTTGTGGCGAGCTTCACCATAGTTCCGAATGCGATAAAAAAGCATTAAAGGATACCAACTCCAAAAAATATAGCAACTACAGAGGAAATCACACCGCAAACTACAGAGGCTGTCCTATTTATAAAGAACTGAAGCACAGGTTAGCTCTGCAGAACGAAGCGTTGCGTAATCCTACAAAAAGAAACCCCATTAAATTAGTTGAAGTACCCCAAACTTTAACTTCTAAGCCTGTTACACCAGGTGTTTCATATGCTAATATTGTTAAATCTGACAATCAACAAGCTCCTCCAGTTCAAAGTAATAGTTTAGAAATAATGATCTCCACTCTCAACCAGAGCTTACATTGTGACCGAAAAGTTTCCGGTCATAAATAAATAAAACGCAAAATTCTT